TCGATATTTTTTTTCCAGAATGAATTAAAAACAAGGTGCACCCATAAAGTGTCGATCCATATATAAAAAAGTGTCGATCCCAAAATCATCGAACCCAAAAGTATAATGTAATATGTAATTTTTTAATCTAACCGGTACAATTATACCGGTTTTATGAGAGAATAAGTCTAAATAATGTGTCGACACTAATATAGTTTGTGTCGAAATTTTTTTTCCAGAATGAATTAAAAACAAGGTGCACCCATAAAGTGTCGATCCATATATAAAAAGTGTCGATCCCAAAATCATCGAACCCAAAAGTATAATGTAATATGTAATTTTTTAATCTAACCGGTACAATTATACCGGTTTTATGAGAGAATAAGTCTAAATAATGTGTCGACACTAATATAGTTTGTGTCGATATTTTTTTTCCAGAATGAATTAAAAACAAGGTGCACCAATAAAGTGTCGATCCATATATAAAAAGTGTCGATCCCAAAATCATCGAACCCAAAAGTATAATGTAATATGTAATTTTTCAATCTAACCGGTACAATTATACCGGTTTTATGAGAGAATATGTCTAAATAATGTGTCGACACTAATATAGTTTGTGTCGATATTTTTTTCCCATAATGAATTAAAAACAAGGTGCACCCATAAAGTGTCGGTACTTTTTGTCCATATTGGAAGAAAAATGTGTCGATACAATTTAAAAAAGTGTCGACATTTTACACATCGGAACCCATAATTATAATGTAATAGATAATTTTGTAATATAACCGGTATAAATATACCGGTCTTATGCGCGAATAGGTCTACAACCTATATCGACACTTTTTAATATTGTGTCGGTACTTTATGTCCATATTGGAAGAAAAATGTGTCGATACGATTTAAAAAAGTGTCGACATTTTACACATCGGAACCCATAATTATAATGTAATAGATAATTTTGTAATATAACCGGTATAAATATACCGGTCTTATGCGCGAATAGGTCTACAACCTATATCGACACTTTTTAATATTGTGTCGGTACTTTATGTCCATATTGGAAGAAAAATGTGTCGATACGATTTAAAAAAGTGTCGACATTTTACACATCGGAACCCATAATTATAATGTAATAGATAATTTTGTAATATAACCGGTATAAATATACCGGTTTTATGAGCGAATAGGTCTACAACCTATATCGACACTTTATAATATTGTGTCGGTACTTTATGTCCATACCATTTAGTGGCAAACACAATTGTGTTATGGTGATGATTGACACCAACAATAGGCATAATTGGTCGACCATACAAATTATCTTTGTACGTTGTGTCGAACGCAATTACATCACCGAAGCATGTGTAATCCGATCTCGATGTAGAATCCGACCAAATAAGATTATACAATGCCCCCGATTCGTCTACCGAGTATGTCATAAAAAAACCCTGGATCATCATGTTCCTATAATCAAAGTAGGCAATAAGCGCATTCACATCCCCATCGACGATTTCCTTTGCTTTACCTCTTTGAAGTGCATTGTAGAGGTCTTTATGTGTAAATCCAACATTATGATAGCCCCCTGCCTGCTGCGTTAAATAGTTCATTACTTGTGACGTGCCAACACCGACCTCTTTCAATGTTGTTGCCTCATCGATATCAGCCTTACTTACAGCTCGATTAGAACGCATAAATGGTGTCATAGCAGATGTGCACAATGCATGATTATGTTTCTGATCAGACTTACTTATAACCCACTGATCGTTTGTATTTGTTGCTGTAACTACGACTCTAGCCTTACATCCTGTTATTGTGACTGGCGTATGAGCACGTTGACGATCAACAGTATTGACTTTTGATACTCGAAACCCTTCTTTGGAACAACAAATTCTTGTGTCTTCACATTCCCTTCCACGTCAAGCCGTGTTGTTCCCTTACGTGCACTAAACCCATGTTCCCGTGCGAATCCCTTGTAAAAGTGCCAAGCTTGATCACGTGAACAGAAGAGCTGACCAACCAATCTGTCAGATTCATCAACATTATGTACTTCATGGCATTCCTCGGTTGGCTTAACATTGTCTACATCAGTATTATCCATGGCAAAAATTTTGTTGTGCAAGTTCAGTGCTCCAGGAGTTGATGGATATGTAAACGAAGGTTCATTTTGAACATGTTTCTGTAGTTAAAGGGTGGGTACAACATTAAATTCGCAGTACATATTTAGGTATGTACAATAACTACAAGTATATTCATTTTAAATTCGCAGTACACTGTTAAAAAAATTGAAACATAAATTACATAAGTTTAAAAAAAGTATCGATCCTTTTTATAAAAAGTATGGACACTTTCAATATAATAGGTAAACATATGATGTAATAGGTAGCCCTTATATAATGTAATAGGTATCGTTTATATAATGTAATAGGTAATGGTTATATTGTAAAGTGTCTATCCTTTTATAAAAGTGTCCATACTTTTTTCAATGTGGAAAACATTAATTTAAGGTTATCTTTTGAGTGAGTTTTAAGATATTAATTTAGTAATTATAGGCGTCTAATGATTTTTTTTACGTTACGGTATATATTATTATTAAATTAAAAATTCTAAATAATATTTTATAAAATATAAAACAATCAAATAATTTTTTGTGCAAATGAAATTATTAAATCAATATTGTAGGTGGAAAACATGAAACACTGTTAAAAAAATTGAAACATAAATTACATAAGTTTTAAAAAAAGTATCGATCCTTTTTATAAAAAGTATGGACACTTTCAATATAATAGGTAAACATATGATGTAATAGGTAGCCCTTATAATGTAATAGGTATCGTTTATATAATGTAATAGGTAATGGTTATATTGTAAAGTGTCTATCCTTTTTATAAAAGTGTCCATACTTTTTCACTGTGGAAAACATTAATTTAAGGTTATCTTTTGAGTGAGTTTTAAGATATTAATTTAGTAATTATAGGCGTCTAATGATTTATTTTTTACGTTACGGTATATATTATTATTAAATTAAAAATTCTAAATAATATTTTATAAAATATAAAAAATCAAATAATTTTTTGTGCAAATGAAATTATTAAATCAATATTGTAGGTGGAAAACATGAAACACTGTTAAAAAAATTGAAACATAAATTACATAAGTTTTAAAAAAAGTATCGATACTTTTTATAAAAAGTATGGACACTTTCAATATAATAGGTAAACATATGATGTAATAGGTAGCCCTTATATAATGTAATATGTATCGTTTATATAATGTAATAGGTATCTATCTCGCATGTGAGTACTTATTCCAACCATGTGACAAGTGTGACAACTCCATCAACTCACAACTCAGCTTTGAACTCAATCAATATTGTCTTTTAGCTTGATGGTTCATAAAGCATGTTACTTGAACAATATGAATCAATTATGCAATTTTCATGTTCAATTTAACACTGCATTTCAAATTCATTTCATATGTAATTGGAGTTTGAATTTAAATTTCAATTTGAGTTTGAATTTCAATATATATTTCGGCTCCACTATAAATATTAGCCCAAGCCAATATGCATGTTATCATTGATTATTCCTAATTTCCATTGTTTTTTTTCCAACGTATAAACGCGAGGGAAATCCCGACCATTTATTTTTGGTCAACTTTAAAGCGTCAGAAACGTTTCGGGCGTATGATCTGGGTGGTATACAAGAAATGTAACAAATAGCAACTAAAATCATAAGTTGAGTACCACCCAAATCATAAGTCTGAAATACTTTCGATGCTCATCAAAATCCAAAGCTCATATGGTGCCAAGCAAAAGGAAATCAAAATCCAAATCTCATATGATGCCAAGCAATAGGTAGTGGTTATATTGTAAAGTGTCTATCCTTTTTATAAAAGTGTCCATACTTTTTTCACTGTGGAAAACATTAATTTAAGGTTATCTTTTGAGTGAGTTTTAAGATATTAATTTAGTAATTATAGGCGTCTAATGATTTATTTTTTACGTTACGGTATATATTATTATTAAATTAAAAATTCTAAATAATATTTTATAAAATATCAAAACAATCAAATAATTTTTTGTGCAAATGAAATTATTAAATCAATATTGTAGGTGGAAAACATGAAACACTGTTAAAGTATCGATCCTTTTTATAAAAAGTATGGACACTTTCAATATAATATAATGTAATGTAATAGGTAAATTTGCAATGCTATCGGTATAAATATACCGGTTTACTTATAAAATAGGTAAATATAAGCGCTACCTATTACATTATATAAGCGCTACCTAGTATGTTATTGTACTTTATAATATTTGCGGTTAAATAATATAACATAACCGGTCTAAATTTTAACCGGTCACTTGTTTAACCGGTCACGCCGTATATTAGCCGTTTTTTTAGGCGCCGCACCGCAGAACGACCCAACAGGCCAAGCACAAGCTAACAAAAATGCAATAAATGAATAGCTGTATAAAATAAGGAAAAAGAGTTGTAATTATTAATGGGATAAATTTTACTGTTATTTTATCACCAAATGGTTAAATTGTCTGCTCCTATACCATTGGTTAACCCTGATTGGTGAAAACCATTCAGATACGACACCAGGAGATGACTAACCTTATGGAAAAGCAACACGTGAAAGTCCCAATTCCAGGAAGAATCTGAGAGTATTTCCACAAGAATTTTTAGGAAGCTGCTGAGTTGTTTCCCAGACACAGCAAAAGGAGATATGGGAATGAATTTTCTATTGCATTTGAGACCCTTTTAAGTAAATCCAGTCTATCAAAGCCTAAAATTATTGTTTCCTTTTTCCTGTTTCTGCTTTTCTGAGCAGCCAAACACAGTAACCTAATCTAATGGCATTGCATGGTATCATATCCAGAAATTTTATCCAACAAGATAGAGAAGCTCATGAAGTAAATAAACATGGTTAAAAATTGGTTTAGTTTTGCATGAAGAGTTTTATATTTTAATTAATAATTGAATTTATTTTCACCAAGAAAAATCCCAATAAATGCATTTGCAGAAAATTTCAGCACTATATTAAAATAAGTAGTAAATGAATTACATGTATTAATTGTTCCCATTGATATCAATAGAAAATTATAAAGATGAACCCATACAGGGTTCAAGCTTACCTCATACTGGAATCTATAAAGCCGAAAGACACTACATAACACAGTAGAAATGCTTTAACCACAAATTAGGGCCGAGCAATGGTGTTTTACACCAATTAATCAATTGAAAAGCTGCTCCACAAGGGCCTCAAATCAGTTAGATCGATTAGCTACTCTGTTGCAAGTGTGACAGACCAAGGAAGTTCTCTTATTCGATTGTGAGGAAGGGTAGTTGATTGTAGTGTTAGAGGTTCTGTATTCGATGCTTACTTTTGGCCTTTTTCTATCTTTTCTCTAATTTTCTGTTCGAAAAGTGACATATCTGACTCGAGGCCGAACATTCTGTTAAGCGCATGCATGTTCTCAAGGACCTCGTCTAGAGTTCTATTGTCCCTATCATCACATCTCAGGTGCTGCATTGGACCGTGGAGAAGTTTATTCACGATACCACGGCTGAGATCTTCAATTGCCTTCTTTGATTTCTTTGGGATATCATCACCCATCTTTGATAAACATTTATTGAACTCCGCATCTCTAATTCTTTCGGCATAGGCTCTCAACTTCTTGAGTGTAGGAACAGTTTCCAGTGAATCCCTCCATGCTTCAAACTCTCTCAATTCTTCAGCAATGATGGACTGTGCTTCCATTGCTTTCCGTAGTCGGTCCTCCTTATTAGCAGCTACAACCTCTTTCAGGTCATCAACATTGTAAATTCGTGCACCTCCAACATCGGTGACACATGATCCTACATTACGTGGAACAGAGATATCGATGAATAACCTCAAACCACCGACTTCAGAACTGACCGGGGGAAGATTCTCAACATGCTCTTTTAAAAACAGTGGTGTTTCAGATGCTGTACTGGTGAAGACCACATCAGCTTCAGCTGAACAAGCGAGCATGTCTGTAAGGGGTCTGTAAATAATCTCAACACTTTTCGCCTCACCTTTTGCCTCAAGTTTCAGCTCTTCACGGATTGCTGCAACTCTCTCTTCACTTCGGTTAACAACAACCATCTTGGTGCAACCTTTTGATACCAAGTGCTTGATCACAAGCTTTCCCATCTTTCCAGCTCCAATAACTAACATTCGAGCAGTAGCGTGTGAGGACTTGGGAAGCTTCATTAATGCTAGTTCAACAGCAGCGGAGCTAACAGAAACAGCTCCAGCAGCAATATTAGTATCAGTTCTAACACGTTTTCCAACAGTAGAAGCACACTTGAACATCATATGTATGTTCCTTCCAAAACCAAGGACACCTTCTCCGGCTTTGAGAACTTGTTTAACTTGTGCAAGAATTTGACCTTCTCCAAGAACAAGAGAATCGAGACCAGCCGATACTTTAAATAGGTGTTGGGTAGCATCCTTGTTGTACAACAAAAACTGGTGCTTGCAAATCTCTGAAACTGGGACGCCACTAGTCTGTAACCAAAATTGTAGTTAGCTAAAAAACTGCTGCATTTGAAGTTTTCACATAAAATCGATTCATGAAACTAACTTAAATACTTAATAGAGGTTAATACGACAAAACTACAAAGGCCAACCGGTAATGTACCTTTGACATCCATTCCGTTACTTCTTTGACTCCACGATGTTGGGACAGAGCCACAACATATATTTCAATCCTGTTACAGGTGCTAAGAACAGCAGCCTCTTCTATATGATTCAAACTGCATAACTCCCCAATGGCTCGTGGCCATTCTGCTTCAGGAATGGCGAGTTTCTCACGCATCTCCACAGGGGCAGTGTGAACACTGAGCCCTATGACAACAATGCTGCTCCTTTCCTTTGTATATCCTGGCATAGATCAAATGAGGATTCTCGGTAAAAACAGTCATAAAAGGGAAATTGACATCTACATTAAAGATGAAGGGCCATTATATCTAAATATTGGTTGATTAAGATCTAATAGTTCTGACATTAAAACCATACAATTATGCCGATTAGCTATGAACACAAGAAACTAATGATTTTGGGGGATTCCTGATCGCAATTAACTAGATATTCCTTGTAAATTGTTACCCTAATATTTAAAAAGTATGAACAAGTCAAACAGGACTGCTTCAAAAAATAAAATTTGAAAGTTTTCAGCGAAATCAAATTAAGCACCACATCAATCAAAAAACAATTCACAATTAAAAGCAACATATAGAAAATAAAATTTAGCAGAAATTAAAGATAAACGTACTGTCAGCTGCGGATGTCTTGAGTTGTTCAAGAGCAGAGAGTGCGGCAGTCTTGGAAGAATAGATTTTTTCGACTTCCAAAGCGGCGTTGGATTCAGCGGCTTCACATCTAATTCCTCCACTCCTCGAAAGCGTACCTTTCATTCCACGATTAGCCTTGTTAAAGACCTTTAATTGTTGCTGATAAGGAAAATAAGCTCGGGAAAAAGTAGCCGAAGACGATGAACAATAATTCATCAACACATTCTCCAATTTAGCGCCGGAAAAACTCGAAGAAATCGCCATGATGTTGGAAAATTTGAAAAAAAACTCACGATCTAAACCCCCAAAATATATTAAAACCCAGAAACACAAATTGAAGGGAGAAATTGAGCGTGAGCATTGAATGGGTATTTATAATATTTCCTAAAATCGAGGGAAAAGGCGTGTGGTTTGATTACGTATTTGTCTATGGTTGAATAAATGCAGTGGTGGGTTTAGTTTAGTTTATTTGGTATGAAACAATTGACCCAAACCAAAATTCAACCAACGACCGGTCAATTCAAGCTTTCTGTTGGGGGAAAAGAAAAAGTAAAATGTGGGAAAATTGAAGGGTAAAATATGTATTTAGTCATTCATATATTTCTATGATTCTTTTTTGGTCACTAAACTATTTTTTAAAAACATATTTAATATTTCGTTTTGATTCTATTTGGATCATCAATTATTAAAAAATTAATGATATTATTGACGTGTTATTATAAGATAACATCATGACATCATAAATAAAAAATAAAGAATAAAGAATTATTATATCAACAATTATATTTATTTTTTTAATTGTGAATGATTAAAACATAATGTTAAATATGTTTAAAAAAATAATAGTTAAATGACTAAAACAAAATAATAAGAATAGATAAGTCACTAAATATAAAGTGTACCCAAATTGAATTGGGGAAGGTATTAGCATTGAAAATAGAGAGGGTTTTCCTGTTTTCTGATTGGCTGATAGACTGGAGACGCGTGTTTTATCCACACTCCTTTCCTCTCACTTTAGCTCTTGTTTGGTGGCCTGTGGGATATTTAATTATTTTTTAATTTTCATTAAACCGAATAACTCATTTAAAAAAAACAATAACGTGAATATTCAACTTATACATTTTTTATTGTAAACCGTCCAAATCAAATTACTATAATATTACTATAAATCGAATTATTATTTAATGTTAAATTTTATTTAAAATGAATTATAAAATCATATAAAAATTAAAAAAAAAACATATTTTATAATATCTTATAGTAAATAATTATTTAGGGTTTCAAATAGTAGTCTAACTCAATTGAATCCTAAATCAATCTCTCTCTATATTTAACTATTAATTTTAACTTTTTTAATATAAATGAGATCGAAATTAGAAAATCATATTTCTACATACGGATAAGAAAGATTATGAATATTACGGAACAATATAATAAATACAAATTTTGATGGTGAACCGAAAATGGATATCGATTCATCGACTAAAATTTCAATCTTAGCTATATAATCTGCAGTCATCTCGGCTGCACCTCGGGTTAATTGAAAATCAACGAACCAAATTTTGTTGTAGAACGTATCTAACAATATTACTTTAACTTTGTTAATAGAAAATTGATGTACTGTGGTTAAAAATTATCACCGGACAATTGATTTGCATCATTCCTAATGCAACATGTGGAAAACTCATAGTTAAAACACGTACCTAAAATAATTAATGACCATTAAGCCTACGGGGTTTGAGATAAACAATTCTCGTATTATAGTCAATAGTCACGTGGGATATTCATAGAGAATTTAAATTTTTAATTTTATGTATCAGAAGTTTTGAGTTCTTATTGTTATATTTACTTCCATCGAACTTCAGAAATACGAGTTTCACATTATAACTCCAAAGCAATAGACCTTCAGAAATACAACTTCGATATTATAGGTATTTGGGCTCTAGAAAAAAATCATACGTAAGAATCGTATAAAAATAATTAATGACCATTAATTCGTAAAGGTGTGTGATAAATTAATCTCATATTATATTTTTGATTCATTGAATTAGAAGTTTCGAGAGCTATGATAATATAATAACATTAAATAAATCAGATAAGATGTGGAATATTATAAAGGCAAGGACGACCTTATTCACTCAGTTTGCTCCATTTGTAAATTTCATAATTTGACTTTACTTAAAGAATTTATTACCTCATCTTATAGATCAACTGATTGTTGTTGTTTTTTACTTTTATATTAACAATAAAAATTTATGTGTATAAATATAATTAAATGATATATATATATATAACGATCATAGATGTATAATATCAAAATTATGTGTCATGTAAATTAAATATATTTACTTTCAATAGATCATCTTTAAATTTAAGTATAAATAGATAAATGTCTAAAAATAAACATAAAAAAAAAACAAATCATAAACTCACACTTAAACAATAATATTATTAAATGATATAATATTCATATGAACAATGAACTCATGAAAGACTTTAGGCTGTAAACTTTTTATGAGTATACTCGTTATCATAGAGTTTATCCCAATGTACTCTATGAATATTTGTCCACTATGTACTCTATGAATAATGTGCCAAATCTGTGAACGCATATATTCGACTCTCAACAATTGATGAATATGAAATCTTTTGTACTTTCTAAAATTTGATGTTAATCGACATTGAGCATAACTAAATTTATCTCATTTAATAGTACTATAAATATCACTTGATCTAAAAAAAATTATGTCGAATCTTTTGAGTATTTTATTGATATTTCTTTATGAAAATTCAAAAAAAACTCTAAATCAATCTAATTTATTTAAAATTTTAAAACGAAAAAGATATTTCCAAGATCATTTATCTCAAAATATTTTAAAAAAAATTATTAATTTCGTCCGTTAATCTTATATTATTGTTGACAAACAATATCTTCAACACATGAAGTAAAAAAATATACTTATTCAATCAAATATGCGAAACACAGAATCATCAATATACCTCCTACTAAATTTTATGACAATCACTAATTAAATTTTTGTACTAAAACTTATTTATAAGGCCACCAGAAGAAGAAAGCATTACAAAAAATACTATAGAATTTGATCCATTTTTTGTCACAGTCGGCTCTGTTGCGCCTGAAGGAAAGGTTACATAGCTCCTACTGGGCTACTGGCTGTAATAGCTCCAATTCCAGTGCCAACATTTATTGCAATGATCATCACAAGTAATCTTACAGAAATCACCATGTTAAAAAATTGTTTGGATTTGATTAAAGATGGATATTTCATTTTACAAATTTAATTTTTATAACTTATTTAATGATTTTTTTCTATTTTTTTTGTATTTATATGATTTGTTTAGTTTTTTTTATAATTTCATAAAAATCTGTCAGAAAATATTTTAAGCAAGTTTATTTCAAAATAAAAATATCTTTTAAAATTTATCTTCCAAAATTATTTCTAATAAAATAAACAGATCCCAAATCTAGTAAAATATTTAACATATCATATCCGAATTTTAATATAACAAGTACGTAATATTTAAAATTAATCTATATATATATATATTTTATCAGAAATAAATTAATTTTATTAAATTAATAAAAAAACAGAAATGTAAGAATTAAATTTTTTAAATTATTTTAAAATAATATAAATACAATTTTTTTTATCATTTTATCAATTAATAATAGACCATGTCTTCGGCATATAATAGTCGATTCACTGTTGGATTATTTTACCGTAGAGTAAAATACGGAAATGGCTAGTATAAAAAGGGGAAACAAAACGGTAAACTTACAAATGAAATCTCCACTTTGACCTCATAAAATCAAGAAAAAGATAACACCGAAAAAATAAAATAAAAAAATCCTCCCCTCTCCAGCCTCATAATTTTTTCATATGAACCGCCCTCCGCGTCTAAGCCCTTACCCCTCAAAACCCTAACTCCGTTTCCCCTATATTCACAATTCCCACAAAAAATCAATCAAATTTCTATTGGGGGAAAGACCGAAGCCATGAACGTTGTAGATTCTAGAGACCAAGCCCTCTCTCTCCTCACCGCCGCTCTCAACCACTCCGACTTGGCCGTGAAGCTTTCCTCTCTTAAACAGGCCAGGGACATTCTTTCCTCTCTCGATTCTTCCTCCGCCGCCGATCTCTTCCCCTACGTAGCCGACCTCCAGCGTTCTCCTCATACTCTCGTCAGGAAATTTCTTCTCGAGTGAGTTTCAAACCCTAATTCTTTATTTTTCTACATATAAAAATATATTTTAAATATTTTATATCCTGTCGCTTTATGCTTAACTGCTTCTTAGTTTTAATATTTCTGTGATTAAGGAGCTGCAATTTTTCGAAATGTTTCATGTTAAGATTATACACATTACTGATCCAATTGCTTAGGAATAATTGTTTTAATTTGTTCTCTGATGTTATATTTATAATGTCTTATGTATTTTTTTTGTTCATTGGTTGGCAGGATAATTGAAGATATTGCATTGAGAACGATAGAGCATTCTGCTGTACTTGTACCAGTTTTAGTAGCGTTCTTGAGGGATGTTGACTCAGATGTTGTGAAACAATCTATTGTTACTGGCACACACTTCTTCTGCAGTGTCCTGGAAGAAATGACACTACAGGTTACTTTCTGCCTTTTAATTGAACCTGTAGTCCGAACCTAATCCAATATTCTTTTAGCAGTTTTCCCTTTTTTGATTGTATTTTATGCCACCATGTACAATTGGAGCACAATACTTTTAGATTTTCAATGTATGTGCTTTGAATCATTAATGTTTGCTGCTGGTTTTTAGTTACTGTTCTCTCTGATTGAGTTCTTGGTGATATTTTAACCACTTGATGTAGTGTCTTTGCATCAGTTTTTGGACTACCCAAAAAATTGATGATTCAGTCCTGTTATCTTGTTTTTTCATTTTTATGTCAAAATATTTGGTTTCTTACCTATGCTTAAATTTCATTTTCTGGAAATTTTAGTTTCAGCAGTATGGAAAAGTTGACCAGTGGGTTCAGGAACTATGGATGTGGATGGTTAGGTTCAAGGAAGGTGTGTTTTCCATTGCATTGCAGGTATGGCATATTTACTTTGGCTTTCCAAGATCTTAACAAATATTGGCTAATTTTCAATGGTTGACTATTTTGACCAAGGTAGGTGCTGTTTGATAAATTGAAATACTAAATTAAATGCTGACCTTCTACTATTGAACTAATTCTAGGAGAGCTGGTTGGTTGTTCGTTGAAAATTTATATACAACATAAATTTTGGTTGATTTTCTTTAAGAAAGAGATTTATCATTTAATAGAGTTTTCTCATAAAACAGTAATTTTAAAAAATGGCATATAGGAAAATTTTGCTAAAACATATGGCCATGTAATGATGTTATAAAATGATACTTCAAAAGTTGCAGATAGATGACATTGGTAGATTTTAACTACTTAATATGTTTCATTTATTATTTTTGAGGAAGTGGTGCTGTGAATGATTGATCGAACAAAGTTGTATCCTTAAAAGGCCACAAACTAAAAAAATTTAATTAATTGAAAATTGTTACTGAT